TGGGGTCCCAGCTAGCGACCTGCCTTTGCCACCGACTTGGTGACCTACTTCTGCTGCCGACTTGGCAACCTACCTTTGCCGCCGACCTGGTGACCTACTTCTGCCACTGACCTGGTGACCTACCTCTGCCGTCGACCTGGCGGTCTACTTTTGTCGCCGACCTAGCGACCTACCACTACCGCCGACTTGGCGACCTAGTGACCTACCTCTCTAGAAGCTTGCTAGTTGTCTCCGAACCTTTGGGGATTACACTGCGTAACCGTAGGCCTTATCCTCATCCCACCCGAATCCGAGGGAAACGGTAAGCCTTATTAACTGGCACGTTATCCTCCTTCCAAAGCAGAACAGACCCCTACGTCGTGGGTTGAGGATTCTGGGAGTGTTTCGCAAGACCCACAGCAGCCCAACTATATAAGGGCATTGGCCCCTGAGACCTAGGTAGATGCGCAATTTAGTTTTCGCAACTCTCCATCTCTCTCACATTTAGCTATCTTAAAATCTCTTATTCGCGGACTTAAGCATCGGAGTGCCCACCCCAGGTAAAGCAACCCGGGCACTCTGACACAGTTTCCTTGCAGGTCACATCAGAGCCACCTCTCCAGCTCGTCACCATTCAATTAGGCATTAGATCCACCTCTCCAGCTCGTCACCATCCAGCTAGGCATCAGAACCACCTCTCTAGCTCGTCACCATTCAGCTAGGCATCAGAGCCACCTCTCCAACTTGTCACCATTCAGTTAGGCATTAGAGCCACCTCTCCAACTCGTCACCATTCACCTAGGCATCAGAGCCACCTCTCCAGCTCGTAACCATTCAGCTAGGCATCAAAGCCACCTCTCCAGCTCGTCACCATTCAACTAGGCATCAGAACCACCTCTCCAGCTCGTCACCATTCACCTAAGCGTCAGAGCCACCTCTCTAGCTCGCCACCATTCAAGTAGGCATCAGAGCCACCTCTCCAGCTCGTCACCATTCAGCTAGAAATCAGAGCCACCTCTCCAGCTTGTCACCATTCAGTTAGGCATTAGAGCCACCTCTCCAGCTCGTCACCATTCAGCTAGGCATTAAAGCCACCTCTCCAGCTCGTCACCATCCAACTAGGCATCAGAGCCACCTCTCCAGCTCGTCACCATTCTGTTAGGCATCAAAGCCACCTCTCCACCTCTCCAACTCGTCACCATTCAGCTAGACGTCCAAGCCACATTCCAGGTAGGGATTATTTAGCTAGGCATCTGAGTCACTAGCCAGACGGGAACTGCCAAAACGCCCACCATCAACAGTGAAAAAATGTCTAACCATTGGGAGAAGCTTTAAAAAATAACTTTCCCAAATGGTAGGTGTGCACAAAAACCAAAGTCACCTTTTGCTATTCTCGATGCTATGGAGGAGCATGAGAGGGGAATTGCTGAAGTGGTGCCTATGTAGTAGCATTTTTGGAACCATGGGAATTTATTCAATAAACGCTGCCACATAGGCGCCACTTCAGCAGTTCCCCTCTTATGCTCTTCTGTACGCATCGAGAATAGCAAAATGTGACTTCGGTTTCTGTGCACGCCTACCATTTGGAAAAGTTATTTTTGAAAGCTTCCCCCAACAGTTAGACGTTTTTTTACTGTTATGCTGATGTGGTGCCTACTTATCATAAACGGTTATAATTATTACCTTTCTTAGTTTTACAAGCAAATAAAATACAAAGGTTGAATGAAAAAACGTAAACGGAATCAAACCCATACATAATCATATTGCAACTGAACAGTTAATGCTATATGTGTTTTAAATGATTAGAAACTAATTTATTATCCTTGTTTTTGAATTATTTATATTACCTATTGGTTGTTAGATTTTATTGAGTTTCTCAAATGATGCTAAATTTTAAATTATACATTAATTAGGTAATATATAAATATCTCATAAAATTGTTCACATTTACTTTCAATAACGGCCATATATAAGTTTGTAGCATGAATACTACTAATTAGGCTGAGAAATCAGAAACGAAAAACCATGTCTTTTCTCCCATCAATTAATGGCAAAGATACGCAGACATGGAGATATTATACCCCTAGTTTAAAAGTGAATTCAGTTAATGACCTAGTGATCCATCTGGTTGGACCATTCAAACTTTCGATCCGATCAATGGATCATAGGTTGACATTAAATCTTTGGGATTTTTGGACTGTAATCCCTCTCAGAATTTTTTTTTTGCAGCCTCCTTCTAGTCTACTAATAGCCCTCCTATAAACCACCTTCTGCCCGTGAATTTGGCATCAATCCACGGGCAGAATTCAGTCCACCCCTATGAAATCTTAGCTCCACCTAGGGGTGGACTGCATCATAAAAACCCCTAAATCTTTTTGTGCATTTGCTTAGCCATTTTCATCATTAATAACCAAATCCTCATTGGCCATACTTAATTTTGTTTAGTGTGATGAATATATAATACTATAGATATGGTCAACTTTTTTAAGTTTCTATATGTAAATAGATATCATATCTAAATCATTTACCCATTCAAAACCTGAGCAATTCATCCATTTATCCAAGATATTTGAACATGTTCAGATTATTTATTCATCAATTGTAAAGTTGTGAATCGAAGAGATTAAAGCTTGTTTAATCCAATCAGTTACGAATTGAAGCCCCTATTCAATTCATCCATTCATATCTGAATCTGTTCAAATTATTCATTCATCTATTGAAAACCTGTGAAACCAAGAGATTAAAGCCGCATTAGGCATTCCTTAAGGACTTATTTCTTTTTTGCTGTTAAAAACTCAGTGTTCATAGAACCATTTTAACTGCAAAAAAGAGATAAGTCCTTAAAATAAGGAATGTCAAATGCAGCCTAAAACTTGTTCAACCCAATCACTTACCCATTCAAGCCCTATTTCATCCATTCATAAAGAAATGTAAACCCGTTCAAAGTATTCATTCATCTATTCAAAAATCTAATCAATTCATTTATTCAACCAACAAAGATATGTCCAAAATAATTCAGTCATCCATTCAGCATAAAAAAGTATGCAACTATGTCCAAGCATTCACTCATCAACAAATTGGTAGGAAACCTACTAAAACATGTCAGCCATCATACCCAACTTCATATGTAACCTACTAAAACCATGTTCAAGCATCCAATAAAATAATGGTAGGAAACCATGCTCAGATTATTCAATCAGAGCAATACATGTTGGATCAAGGTTTCCAAAGCCATTGGTTCTTAGAACAATAAATTATTTTTATCAAATCAAAGATGTTATTTATTTATTTATGTTTGAAAAAAAAGTAATGTATTGACTAAGAGAGAAGGGTAACAAGAATTATACAAGGAAAGGTAGAAACATCCCTACCCCATGTCCTAAAACAAAGAAGATGATTGACCAAAAGGGCCTAGCCCAACTGCTAAAGACAGCAGAAGTGCTAGCCCCCCTTACACAGCCAAAACACCCACACCTCGGCCATACCTCTCCACCCAAACGGAAGGGACCCAAGACAAGGATTGGACAGAAAAGCCATAGAAACAGAGCCAAAAGACATAGAAACAAGGCAAGCGCCATCCAAAGAGCACACCATCGGGATTTGTCTTCAATACACGGCAGGAATGTGCTGTGGGGCGCCCTCTTGTGGGGGGCTGATTTAATCTCTTCAAAAAGGTCAAGTGGGCCCATTTTCTTGTGCGGGGATGAATTCTAATCAGCCCCCCACAAGACTACCCCCCACAACGTCCCACACCACATCCCCGCCGTGTATTGGGAACATCTCCTGATGGTAATACCAAGAATGACAATGTCATCATTAGGAGATGCTCTCAATACACGGTAGAGATATGGTGTGGGACATTGTGGGGGGCAGTCTTGTGGGGGGCTGATTCGGTCTCTGCGGGGATAAGACTTCTAAAGAGACTCCTTTTTCAGGTTTTTCAGGTGTGGCCCATAAGAGGGATGCTAGCCCACTCACTTCATCTCAAGCCCAATCACACTTATTAGAGCTGATGAGCACCATTTGGAACAGGTTTAAGCCCATTCTTGGGCCCACAAATAGTGGGATGCCTGTGCCCGATCCTCCTTTAAATCAGATATGTCGGATGCAATGCCAGGTCCATCTCACTTCAATACCCCCTCTGTTGCCTATGACTGATAGCCTGAATGTGCCCATCTCAATGGAGGAAGCTGCCCGACAAACGGATCTCCAGCACCCAGGCCAGGAGGGGTGACAATCAGGAGACTGGATCTTCTCGTCACACCAACTTCACAGACACATCCCACCATGCATTTGGAATATCTCCTGTACTTATACATTATTATACACGGGAGATGTTCTCAATGTATGGTAAGATGTGCCTGTGAGGTCAGTGTGAGGCGCCTTGTGTAAGGAGCAGATTCCAATTCAAGAAATAGGTCGAGGATTTTTTTTTTTTTTTGTGCTAGGCTGTGGTCTTAATATTTCAGATTTGAAAAACCATTTCAGATCATTTTTTAGAACACGTCCGATATCTGAAAAACAAACTTTTCAAACTTCAAATGTCTGAAAAGTGTTATCAAACGCCACCTATATCTCTAATGCTCTTGCCTTTTTTCCAAACACTAATTATCAATATATATGGTAGTTTAATTCTCATTATAAATAAACTATGTACTCTTTTTCAATAGGGATGAAAGTAGACAACTTAGAGGTTGTTTTAATAAACTTTCTATGATGGAAAGAGAATTTTATAGGAAATAATGAAAATTTTGAAAGGATTCACTTCATGCAAACAATGACATCCTATTTATTTGGGGTTCCACATACCTATATATCTTATTTTTTGCCACCATCTTCAACTAAAATAGATGAACATCATTTATTCATTTATACAAAGCATAGAATTTGCTGCTTGCTAATAGTAATTTACTTTAATAGAATGTTATTTCCCAAAGATAGAAATTGATTCTTGATAAATATGCATGATTTTGTGATATATATGTTTCGTCATCTTAAGCAATGTATAATTTATATTTTAGGAGGGAGTAACCCCATTAAAGGAGATTTCTTTGCGATTGCTGGGTCTACACTTTATGCAGTGAGTAATGTTAGTGAGGTAAGGAATTTATTAACTTATTGGCCTTAGAAAGCAATTTGATTTCTGATTTATCCAAATTTGCAATACCAAAATAAAATAGATTTGTAGAATTCAAATTATCATTACTTTTAGGGGTTGTTTTTTTTTTTGGATTTTGAGAGGGGGGAAGTTGGTTAATAGGATTTTGGTTCCTATTGACCAATAATTCCATGTTCTTTTTTCAGCTATATGTGGGGATCAAGGAAAGTTTATTTTCTTGGGTATCATTTACCCAGGAAAGTGATACCCATTTCCTAGGTGGGTAAATAACTTTTCCACATAGGGGGAAAGTTGACAACACTTGAATGGAACAAAAATGCCCCTTTTAATAATGGATTTTTATGGCTAAAATGGTCATTGCCTTATTTACCTGAGAAATAAAAGAACATGGGTAAATGCACTTACCTGGGTAAGTGTTTCCCAGGAAAAACTTACCCAGATAATTGCATTTACCCAAATAAATAACTTACCAAAAAGCGAACAGGGCCTTATTGTAAGTGTTTCCCAAGTCTCCATTACAACCAGCTAGGGACTTTTCTAATAGGCTTATTGGCACCTTCACAAAATTTAAATTATTAATATCGAGCAGATTTCTTGTATTTTCTCATTATGTTTTCTGACCATCAAATTAAATCACATGAATACGCAAGATTCAAGCAAGAATAAAATGGAATGAAATAAACTAAGTTGGAAAAGATAGATTTGGGAAAATTTTGACCTAGAGTAAAATGGATTAGAATAAGAAGAAAAAGAAATATTTGGGCAACATTTTAGTAAGAACATTATAAAATCATTTTGAGCAGAATTTAGACAATTGGATTTCAGGAAGATATCATACAATGGGAATTGAACTAATTTTTTTTGGAAGCAAATAAATGCACTATTTAAATAGAAAAGGAAAAATTATATAAATATAACAACTTGACCAAAATTTGAATTAGAGTGAAATGAATTATAATAAGTAGAACAAGATTTAGATAGCATTTTAGCAAGGACAAAACAAAATCATTTTGATAAGAATTTAGGCGATTGAATTTTGGTAAGACACAGTACAATTAGAACTGAACATATATATATTCTTTTAGTTTCAGTTAAGATTTTAGGCCAAAAGCATTCTCTAACAAAAATAGTAAGGCAAGTTATCTTCATCCCCTTGCAATGAAAATTGCGAAAAGTTACCCAAATAAAAAAAAAAAAACACCCCAATTGAACAATCAAGTGGAAAATCTTATCCGAAGTTAGAAAAAAAATGAATAAAACACATCTAGTTTTATGAAACCAGGACTGATTCATTGGTTGGCCAGTTTTGACCTGTTTTTGTTTTGTTTTTTTTTTATTCATGGGGCTACACAACAGGGGGTAGCCCATCCCCTTTCCCTTAACCCCCCCAAACCCTGGTGGCAGCGGGATTTGATCCCAAGTCTCTACTCCGATGAATCAGAGAACCTACCAACTGAGCCACCATCAGTTTTGACCTGTTTTTATTACCACTGGTTTTTAGGGCCTGGTTCTCTAAACATTGATTTATGGAATCCAAGGATATGATCAAATAGCTAGTTCACAATTTAAATCCACTAACACATGTCATTCATACTAATTGCCTTAATTACTTTATATTTAACAAAAAAAATCAAAAAGCATAAGCATTTGGAGATGTGCCACATCAGAACAAATGTGCCATTCATACTTTTTGAAGAGAATGCCCAAGATAGAAATGCACATAAGAAACTATAAGGGAATTAATACAGCCTTAATAGAAGGGGAAAAAGGAGAATTTAAGTGTTGACACCAATATTTAAATATATCATTTGAAAAGGATACTTTCTCAATAGTTAAAGTTCCATAAAGGAAAAGAAAGAATTAATGGATGTGTAAAAAACTGCTAAAGATTTTAATTAAAATCATCATCATCCTCTAAGCCTTGTCTCAAAAATATAGGTAGGCTTCATGAATACATTTTCTGCATTGTTTTTTGTTCATTGTCATATCCATTATTAAGGTGTCATTTGGCAAGTCTTTTTAGGAAAATCTTTTGATAGTCTAGATGACCAAAAGATGTAATGAGTTTTGGGGGTCTTTATCTCTAAGGCTCAATTTGGAAAGAGTACAAATGCAAATATGTACAGCGTAACAAAATAGTACAAAATATAAGGTTTTGCACTCTACATATTTGCATTTGTAGTCCTTCCAAACTCAGCCTAAAGATCCAAACCACTTGGTAAGTATCCTAGTCTACCATGATCTACAGAGCTGTTAAATGAAAGACTTTAGGTGTAGAAAGACAGAAAACTTCATTTGAAGCTTCTAGATTTTTTGTCATTTTAGGCCTCCATTAGCTTTTTAGGGCAGAGGTCTTTCTGGCTTTTTGTCTTTCATTACCAAACATAAAAGGACCCAAATTTGATCTTCTAAGATTTGAAAAGCTTTGAAAGGCTACATGAAAATACTTGCCAAATTCCTCCTAAATTATTAGCCCTTAAATCATTTCTCACAACTTTAACTCATGTCCTTTTACTTCATTTATTTTTATTTAAATTTGCAAACATTAATTTGTTGGCTTTGGTAGAGTCAAATTAATTTATACAAAAAATTGGAATAATAACTAAAAGCTATAAATATGTCAAATAATTTTTCTTGATTGATTAGTAGTTTAAATCTCCAATACTCTATTTAGTTATATAAATTGTCATGTTTTTCCACTAAATGGATTCTTATATTACCCTGAACTCTTGAACTTCTTGGTAAAATCAAGTTTCTATGTTTTATGCAGGAATACTTAGTAAAAAGTGGCAGCAGAGTTGAGCTCATGACAATGTTAGGATTCTTTGGCGCTCTTATCAGTGCCTGTCAAATGTATCCTCTACTTATTGAAAACAATGAATTCATTATATGATTAATTGTTATTTTCCACTTATTGCCTCAATGAATTTAAAGTTCTCATATTCATTTAATAGAAGATTTTGATATTGAAATATGAATAAGTACAAACAAGGATGTATTCTATTGGATAGATTTTACTAGATATTGATATCCTTAATAAATTTTATAGAAGCATACTTGAGCGTCAAGAACTCCGTTCTATACAGTGGTCATCCGGGGCGGTATCTCTCTCTCTCTCTCTCTCTAAAGGCATTTGAATTACTACTTTTCACTTCATTGAATTTCCTTTCATTAAATTTTATATGTAAGGTATTAACTCCTATGTTATGTCTCATCAAATCCTATAATGAAGGTTCTTACCAATAAATTCTATTAATTAGATCTAAATTTAATACTTTTAAATATATATATATATTAAATTAAATTAACCCAAGAATACAGCTATTCTTTCATCTAGGTGGTTCACAAGAAATCCAAACTTTTTAGTAAATGGATCAAGCCATTATGTCATATTTAAATAATAAATCTTTTTAAATAAAAATAAATATAAACATTACAAAAACAAAAGTTTTCTAGAAAAATTTGGAAACATCTCTAATATTTTCTATTAATTGTATTAAAGAGAAATAAATGTGATGAACAAGACTTATTTTTATTGACAATGGTAATGATATACAAAATTTAAAACCAAACCAAAACATGAAATTGTTTTCTTATTTGGTAGTGAGTCATAATTCAAACTTTTGTTCAAATGTTTTAACAATTGATGTCATAATTAATAAAATAATAAAAATTAAAAATGACAAAAAATAAAAAAAAATATAGAAAATATTTGGCCACATCTCTAATATTTTATATTAATAATACCAAAAAATAATAAGTGTGATAAATGAAAACTATTTTTATTGATGATGAAAATGAAATGCAAAATTGAAAAGCAACCTAAAATGAAATTATTTTTCTATTTGGTGGTAGGTTATTAGTTCAACCATTTTGGTCAAATGTGTTAACCCTTGATGTAATAATTACATAATAAAATTATGAAAAAAATAAAAAATATTAAAAAGTTATGATAATACAAAAAAATATAGGAAACATTTGGGCACATCTATAATATTGTATATTCATCATATTAAAAAAAGCTAAGTGTAATAAATAAGAATTACTTATATACACATAGATATATCAGAAAATTGTAACAAAAAAAAATTGAACACATATTATTACTATTGTTATCACTTATCATCATCATCATCATCATTTAAAATTACCAGATGCAAAGAACATGCACATTTTGTAGTTTATGTATATTATAATCAAGGGATCTTTCATGTGGAAAACTAGTTTGGAGCTCAAAATAAGCATCAAATTTGCTCTCCCCACCCTTTATATTATGGAAAAAAAATTCAACATAAACCATAATGCTATGTGTACAAAATAGGTCAAATTCCAATGTCTAAGTTTTATATTATAAAGTCAAAGCTTTGAACAGCTAATATTAATTATCCACAGAACAAGATGAGTATAGGTTACCAATCTAGTGGTTTCCTTATTTGTTGAACTGCTAGTTTTCACCTCAATATCCTTCATTCTTCATAGCAGAAATTAATAGAGTTAATTGTATAGGAAATATCATTAGTGAACATTTTCAAGCATGAATGTGTGTTGGCAGCACCTACCTATCATTTTTTGTATGTTTATTTGAAATAATCACATTATAATAAAAGTAAGAAGGCAATGCTTTGCACCCTAATATTCAAGGAAGAGTCTACCCATCAATTTAATAGAATAATTTTTTACACATGTTTGTTATTGGCACTGGTACCACAAATTCTAGGTCCATTAAGGAAAACACGTTACTACCACAAAATTCACCTTGATTTGTATATATATATATATATATATAATTACTCTTCATTCTAGAATTTTTTCCTTTTTTTATTTTTTTATTCCATGTCATTTTTGAAACAACCAATGAGATGCTCTCTTTTCCTATAAAAGATTACCTAAAATATCTATCTCTCCCACACATTCTCAATAACCTAAATAATATCCTCTCCTAAAATTCCTAAACTACCTTCCCCACTATCCCCCATTTTCTTCTAAATTATCTCTAATTCCTATTTATCCCCCCCCCCCTTTTATCTATATCTATCTAAAAAAGTTTTAATTAAGAAATTAAAAAAAGATTTAAATATTCAAACAAAATTATGAAATAACTTTTAAAATTATTTATTAGAAGCATAAAAAATAATTATAACATATTTAATATTATTCATATTATTAATAATTTTATATTTTTACAAAATACATCGTGAAATTATGTACTAACAATATAAATTATGATTTTCTAGATTATTTAATTTAAATGTTATTCAAACAATAAAAATTTAAAATAAAAATATAAAATATTATTTTAATATTTTAATATTTAAATATATTAAATAGTAAAATATTAATAATAGTGAAATAATTATATAACAAAATATTTAATCTTATGTAATAACTTTAAAATAAATGAAATTTAAATAATGAAAAGTTTTAAATATTTTATATATTATTTAAATATTTAAATATTTAAATAACTGAATATTTTAAATAAAAATATTTAACATTACTAAATTTTAAATATTTAAAATAACGAAATTATGTAATAAATTTAGAAAAATTCTTAAAATTATAAAAATAATTGCAACATAATATTTGAATTAATAATAATTTAATATTTTGAAAATTAATAACAAAATTATGAAATAATAGTATAAATTATAATTTATGTATTATTAAATTCAATAAATCATTAATATTTTAAAATTTAAATAATGATATTATTTAAATAACTAAATAACATTGTAAATAACTAGTTTCACTTATATCAATTAATAATTCTAGAAAATAACTTTCAAGAAAAATAATATTTATTAATAATAATTTTAAAACCTTAATCTATATTTAGTATATATTTATCTATAGTAAAATTAATATTTGTTGTATTTTCGGTAATTATATAATGTTTTTAGTGATAAATATATTTTCAATAATTATTGGAGATTAAACTACTATTATTTAACTTTTTAAATTTAATTTTTTGTATTTTTGTTATAATTTATTGATTAGTATTTATTAGAGATTACACTATTTATTGACTAATTAAATATATTTTTTAGTATTTAGTGTATTTTTCTAATTATTATAATTATATTAGTTATTTATTATATTTTCATTATCAATATATTTTCAATAATTGTGTATTTTTTTTATAAATTTTCAATAGTTTTTGGAGTGTTCACAGGTTGGCTCAGCTCGGTTGTAGGTTGTTTGGCCAACCAAATAAACCCGATTAGGTTGAGGAGTTAGTCACCTAAAACCAACTAACCACTAGTGAAAAATGACCAACGCGGATTGTACTGATTTGGGTTGATTTTTGGTTTGTCGGTCAGTTCAAAAGATTTAAATTTAAAAGAATAGTAGAATTATTAAAAAATAAATTTAAATATTAAAGCTATGATATAAAATGTTTTAGACTAAGAAATATGGGAAATTTTCCACTTTCCCATATTAAAAAATTATATTAAAAATATAAGATATTAATATATCTATGGTCAGGTAGTTTGATTTTGATCAATTTACAAATGGACAAAGCGAAATTGATCCAAGCTGGTCGGGTTGGGAAATTGTTGAACCAAAGCCGACCAGAAATACTAGAAAACTAACCAACTCGGATTGGGTTGGTCGTTTCATCAATTTGATGAACAACCCTAGATAAAATTAATTATTGTTATTTTTGTATTGTAAAAAAAATTATTAAAAGTAGTATATAAAAAATAAATATTTATTAATTATTTAAAAAATTAAAAATATAAAACAATTGTATACTCCTATGTGTTCCTATTATTTAGATTTCTCTTAACAAATCCTGTGCATCGCACGGGTCTCCACTAATATTATTACAAAAATGGAGTTAACAGAAAAGTTTATAACCAAAAGTTATGTTAAGGATTTAATTCTTGTATTTGATTTCAGGTGCTTCCTCTTGTTGGGTTTTCTGCAGCAATGTTTCTATTTTACTCCTTAGTGCCATTGTTGTTGAAGGTATGCATTAGAGTGGCATAACTTTTATCGCATCTAAAAGGCTAGAATTATTCTCCCCCCTAGTACGTAGGATTATGTATTGTCTTAGATTAAAACTTGAGATTAATGATGGGGATTGGGTTCTGCAATTGTATAAACTCCTTTTCATAGATTGGTTTGTATCATCCTAATTGAATGCTTCAATTAATGACGAGGGGATGAATCACAATATTCTTCACAAACTATGGTTGCAATAAATATTTACTTAATCAATTTTCTTCAGTTATTCGAACATTTAAAACATGCAAATGATCGATTGAATATTTATTTCCACAATTAAAAGTTGATTTCAAACCACACAATCAAACCTAAATCATATTTGAAGCATTGAGTTGTGATGAATCAATTTTTTGTGATGTATTAATCTTTTGGTTAAGTATCTTGTCATTTGGCCTGCTTTCAAGTGGCCGATGACTCAGGCCAAAGTAGAGAACTTTGGCTGCCGAGCTGAGTTGAGTTGGCCAGGCTAGGTAGCGAGCTGACTATAGTGTCGAGCTACCTATGAGGTGCCGAGATGACCAGGTGGCAAGCTACCTAGGTGTCGAGTTGCCTGTGAGGTGGCGAGCTGCTTATGAGGTGCCAAGTTGGATTGATGAGATTCATTGCTCTTTAGAGACCTACAAGGAACCAAATGTCAGAAGACCCGGGGTGGCTAACCCGGCGAGGTCGCTCTGATGCTTAAGTCAGTACTCTCATAGTAGACTGCGAGCTAAAAATCACAAAGTATGAGAGCTAGAATATGCTTGCTTCTTACTTACCTACTTGCCATTGGGGTTGGTGCTTTTATATAGGCATTGTTTGGCATGGGCTTCACGCACCATATCCGAGATTTTTGCGAGGTCGTCTAAGTGGTTCGAGATTCCTGGAAGTAACCGCCATGCACGTTGACCACCCTCCGGATCGTTCAGCACGTGGGCCAACTTCCAAGGGTCGTGGAAGTGTTAGGATATGCATGCCGATTTTGTCGGTGAGCACGTCTCGCAGGTCGCTAGGTCGCGCCTAGGCCAGGCCTGCAAATTGGACACCATCAACTTGGCAAATTGTTGCCTAAATGGTTTCGAGTGTCACCTATTTGTTCTGAGGTGCCATGTGTCACAATATCATTGGAGGGCCAAATCCGCCCTCATAAAGTTGCAATGATATAGTTTAGAGATAAGGAGATTATGGAGATGAACAAACAAACCAAGATTTGTACAAGTTCAACCCCTCCTAGGCCTATATCCTATTATCAAGGTCACCACTTTGAGAATTTGTAATCCACTGTTTACTTGATCTTCATAGATTCCAACAAAACCTTTTATATAGCAGATAGATATGTTTCATGGGTGCTACCTGAACCTTTCTCTGACAACCAAACTTCACGAGTGCTGGTAACTAAAATTTAAGTTAAGTTGACGATTAATTCTAATAAAACAAGTTAATATAAGTAAACAATCTATCGATGAAATTTTAAACATTACATTAAAACAAGTTAGTACTCTTTGGCAAAAAAGTTATAACTATTGATGAAATTTTAAACATTACATTAAAACAATCTATTGATGAAATTTTAAACATCTCTTAAAACAAGTTAATTAGTATTAATTCTTTGTTTGATCATGAAAATTTTAGGATAGGAGTGTAACTCAAGTGAGGTGGGTCGTGTTGAGGGTCAATCCAAGCCCAACCTAAACCTAAATTTTCCAACAGGCCCAACACAACTTGGGTTGTGTTGTTGTGATGTTGCACATACTTGGCATGGAGAATTTAAACCCAAAGTGAATTTCTATGCATAAGAAATCTACACCTAAGGTTCATTATATAACTATATTCTTCAGTTGTACATCTTTCAGTCCCAAACCCTCTTTGTGCTTTAGTTGTATGAAAGGCTCTCAGGTGGATCTTATTCTCCCCCACTGTGATTGCCCAACCACAAATCACGACTGAATTGATTAAGCTTAGAACAAGTCATTTGAGGGAATAGGGATATATGTTCATAGGGTAAACCGGAATAGCTTCAAGTGTTGATTGACTTAATCGGAATGGCTTTATCTGTATGAGATAATATCTCCACAATGTACTTCAAATCAACTATCTTGGCCCTGCTAAAAAAAAATAGATTTGCCACCCCAAGTATATATCATGTCAAGTAGTTATCAACTTAATTGATACCAAGAAAATCTGTTATACAAGGTTTGTAAAAGTTTCTCTATCTTTTCTTCTTTTCCCTACTTTTTTCTTCAAACCAAACACACACTAAGCAACTAATCTTGCCTTACAACGATCAACCACCCATCTACTTTATATTTCACCTTGTATATACACTTAGTTCCAATCAAATTCATAGACGAATGATATATAGGGCACACGCTTCCAATGTCCCATTACGGACTAGAGCTTTGAACTCATGAGCCATAGCAGCATGCCAATTCCGATCTTTGGTCTCTTGGGCTTAGGAGCTTGGTTCAGTGATATCTTCAGTTATGCTAGTGAATAATGCATGTGGAAAGGGGTATTTTTGTGAAAAATGGGACTGCGGCAACGTCTTGTCCATTAAGGGTGTCAACGGACCAGTTTTGGATTGGACCCCGTCCAAATCAAAATCAATTTAGATAAATTGGACAGATCAACAAGACATATTGAATTGGACCAATCCATATGTAATGATCCAAAGTATTTATTGGATTGGATTGGATTGGGCCTTGTCCCTCCGTAATAAATTTATATTGGATTGGATTGGATTGAGCAAATATCTGATCCATTGATATAAGATACAAATATAGTTGTCAATGAACATGCTTTGGGTTGAAACCAGTCTAAATCAAAACTTATTTAAACAGATTGGACAGTCCAGACATTGGATTAGACCTTATCCATTTCTAATGAATTCACATTGGACTGAATCGGGTTGGACCAAATCATAAATATTCTTACAACAATATATGGTAGATGCCCTTAGTAAATTGGTTTAACGGCAACAGTTCACTTTGCCCTAAATATTAGCAATAGCAATGACATGATCATAAAATCTACAATTATAGATTTTCTTAATTAAGTAACTTCTTAGCTTTGCACTTTATGTATGTATGTATGTTGTATTTTTAGTTGTATATTAAAGTAGTTTCATGCTTCTACATGTACTCATATCATAATCCAATGAACACTATAATATTACTCATAACTGCAAATATTCTGTCCAAATGGCCTTTTAGGTCCTATGTTTTCACCACTAAAAAATTTTTGACATTGAAGTTGTCTTTATTCCTTATAGTTTAGTGGGTCCACCATGTTGAACCTCTCTCTACTCACCTCAGATATGTGGGCTGTCTTCATTCGCATATTTGCTTACCATGAGAAGGTATGGTGGTCGATTATATTATACCCTTTTTATTACCAAGAGTTTGTTAGCAAGTGATCAATTGCTTTCTAATTAAAAATGGGTTAATCTTTATTAGGTTGATTGGATCTACTTCATCGCATTTGCTGCTGTTGCAATTGGACTTGTCATTTATTATGGGTATTCTCTATTTGGAAGACATCATTCACCTTCATACATTTTTTATTTATATTTGTTTGTTTTTGTTTCTTATTTTCATTTTTATTTATTGTTTATAGCTAGGTATTTATGATAACTTGTAAATCATCTTTGTTAGGGATAAAAGAACTAATGATTTAATCAGGCCATTATGATTTTTATGTCTTTACATGCTAAACACTATTTTTTTCTATTATTAAGAAATATTATATTTAGGATATTTACTGTTATGATCAGTTTGCCTAACTTTTGGAGTCAAGGCTTAGTTTGGAAGGAGTATAAATGCAAATATGTAGAGTGCAAAACCTTATATTTTGTATTATTTTCTATGTATTTGCACTGTTACATATATATTTGTATTTGTACTCTTTTCAAACTGAGCCCAAATTAAAAAAAAAAATTATTAAAATGATTCTCAATGCATGGCCTATTAATCCCCTAAACCAGTAATACATTTCTACAAGATGCATACATTAAATTCATTATTTTCATATGATAGGAAATTTTATTCCTAACCTCGAATCTCATAATACTTTGTAGGGGTGAAAAAGAAGAAAATGAAATTGGAGAACAAGTCTCTGAAGATAACATTCATCAAACCTTGGAAACACCTGAAGAAGGTAGAGGGCATCTAAGTCAAGGATCCACAATAGAGATCCCTAAATCAAAAGATGATAAACATTTTGAAGAGCATAATGGAGAAGTAGTATAATTGAAAATAGTATTTGTTGATGTGTATATTTGTCAGTACTCTATTTGGAGATTAATATGCTAAGCAAAGGAACCCATATGATATTCTCTCTTCCTCCAGTGATTCTCCTTAAAATCTTCAATTCCTACATCTTATCAATTATATTGATACAAGAGAACTTGTTTAGACTTCAAAGATATCAGGGTGGTTTAATATGGAAAGATAAAGTATGCTAGTTATGTGAACTCAATATTGAAGTTGCAAGGAGGAAAGGAAAATTACTTTTGCTAAGAGATTAGATCACTTTGCCTACAAATATTTTGTTTTCCTATATAGACAAACTATTTTTGTGGCTATCTCTGTATTTTCTTTAAAAATGTTGACAAAAATAGAGCAAATTTCTCATAATTTAATTTGGAGGAGTAGAAAAAATAAATAAATAAACACAATTTAGTGCATTGAGAGGATGAACATATTCTAAAATATTATTATGATGCATTAATGTTCGGCCCAGATCTCTCAATGTTTCTAATAGAGATATTAACTCATTCGATCAAATGTGTGGGAGTGCAAATGAAAAAAATGTAAATTCTCATTTAATTTTGTTTTGGGTTTTATTTAATTATACTTCATATCTTAGTTTATTTCATTTGTACTTCAATCAAATAAAAAAATAAAAAATAAGTCAGAATTTACACTCAAAATCATTCGCATTGCCATAATTTTGCATCAGTGCAAATTTATTTACATAACAACCAAACACATCCCACGTTGTGATAAAAAACTCAACTATGTCTTATCACATTTCAGGTCCACATGCAGTGCGTGGGACTGCTATAGTCCCATATCATACCTATACCTACCCACTTTATATAATTAAGAAAGAAGATATATATCGAATTTTGCATCAAAATTTGCACTGATAAGAAGAACAAATGAGACA